TCCTACCAATTTTCATCTACGACTATTATTTTAGTACCAATTTTCATTCACTATTATTGTTTTAGTGTCAAAATTCATCACACCAGTCACCCATCCTTTTCAGATATGCCGAAATATGAAATTATAAAGGGTGTTTTCATCTTTTTCAAATTAAGATCTCAATTTGAGAATGAATACATGAATTTAAGTCTTAAGATCATATCGATCTCAATTCACAGTTGTCATCCTCAAATTAAGGTAGGATGAGTAGGAGAACTGCGAATTTAGATCGATCTTAGGGCTTAAATCTCATTATTCATACTCAAATTGGGATCTTAAATTGAGAAGGACGAAAATGTCCTTAAAATTTTTAAATTTTGGCATGTCTTAGATGAATGAGTGACCGTTGTGATAAATTTTGACACTAAAACGATAGTCGTGGATGAAAATTGGTACTAAAACAATAGCCGTGGATGAATATTGGTAGAAATTAAACATATGAATCAAAACGGTCATTTTGCTAATACTCGAAAGACCAAAATTGGTATTTGCTCTATTAAAAAATTTTTAAAAAATGACATTTTTGGTCATTCAATTTTTCCTATAGCCACTTTTTACCCTTCAAATGTTACCTTAGCTTATTAACTATTTTCACCCATAGCTGGATGAAATTGTTAAAACTTAATAGAAATTTTTTAAATTTAAAATCAAAAGGATACATTTGTAAATTTGCAATACGCTTAATGCATTAAATCACGGAAAAGATAGTTTACAAGAAAAATAGGAGGGGCATCAAACCACTCCCCACAACCTGATTCAGAAAATGCCTCCCTAGCAACAGTGTGTGCGACACAATTCGCAGATCAACTAACAAAACAGAATCGAACAACATCTATCATGAATGCCAATTCTTTAATATCATTAACTAAAAGTCCAAAAGTAGAATTAAAATTAAAGAAGAAGAAGAAAGGGAATAAAAAATAGTTTGTGAGTCCATTTCCTTCACATTCTTATTCTCCAACAAGTGTTGGGGAAACTAGCAACGTCAACGTACGATCTGGAAGCCCCGGTAGTGTTATTGTAACACGGCACAGATTTCCTTTCAACCATATACTAATAGTGTCCGTGCTTCTTAAAAGGCTTTCAGATCGTGCGTTAACGTTGCTAGTTTTCCCAACAACAAGTACACTTCAAAAAGCAATATTGCTACCATTGTTGATATGGAAGTTACCTTAATTGAAATGCATGGAAACATTCAAGTCTTTAAGGAGAAGATGTCAGCAATTGTCTAACATAGTGATTGATCACTTTTTGACAATATGGAGTCTCTCTTTCACTTCAATATCACCACTTTAAACCCTTTGTTTTCCTAACCAATCAGTGTAAATGTATTTCCAAATTATTGTATTTTACGTCTCATATTTTATCTCTCAACGATCTACATAATTTAATTCTAATTAAGTTTTTGATGCATTATTCTTTGATCTCTTTTTGGCTTCATGCTAACAAAAAAAAAAAAAAAAAAAAAAGAAATTTGTGTGTGTGTGTGTGTTTTTTTTTTCTTTTAAATTGTGAAATTAGATGTATAGCTATACCTAAATATATATAAAAAAAATTATTTGTTTCGACATCTGGTATAAATTAAATATAATACTGTAAAATCTTTTTCTAATTTTGGTCATTATATTAAATTTTTTTTGAATGCTACTGGCTCTATTACAATGTTATATCAAGAACGAATAACACCTCCACTAAGGCTCAAACTTACAACCTTCTAATTGGAAATCCAACCCGAGTACCTTTAGACCACATAGTCTTGATGTCGTTATATTGAATTTATTCGATATTAAATTTAAAATAATTAAGGGAATAAGAAAGGCTTTGTAAAGCTTTTGTTAGGTTTTAACATTTCCATCTAATCATGGACGAAAAGAGCTACCGGAGTAACAATTGAAGGGTGAAAAGTGGATATAAGAATAATTCAAGGACCAAAATGACATTTTTTCTAAAAGCTGCTATGTGAAGAACTCAAGGACTGAATAAACTATATATTATGAAACAATTCATGGACCATATATAACGTCAATTTTTCTTTATTTAATATGAACCGTATACTTTGCAGCGGCTAACAACACGAAGCTTTTCAACTAATTTTGAGTTGATTGATTACTTAGTCGAGGTGTACCATAGTCCACATATAGGGTCTTCCATTGTTATCTAATTTTTGGAACTATTATCAGTAATTTTTCATGTACAACATGGGTACATCGTTTCACCCCCCCCCCCCCCCCCCCCCCCTAATACTTGAAGAGTTGTCTACTTTTGCACGTGTCATGTATTCTTGCAAGGTGGACACAGTTTCACAGCATAACGATGGACCATTAATGGTTAACTTGGACCACGGAGGGTAACAATTTGAAAGGTGAAAAATCACGAATGATCAATTTGAAAGTTCAGGACTAAACCTGACAAAATTAATATACTTTAACTCTAAGTGGAATAACACCACTTTCTCTAAAATATAAATATGGAGAGTATCCTTTCCGGTCAACTTTAAAAAAAAAAAAAAAAAAAAAAAAAAAAAAAAAACCTACGATATCACTAAAAAAAAGAAGAATTAAGGAATAAGAAAAAGAAACATTCAACCACAGAAAAATACTAAGGGACAGTGGGACACACTAATTACAAATTTCAAACCTCTTTTAAAAATATATAAATTTAAGCTTAACAGCCTTATATAAAATATGATACAATAATAGACGATTTACTATAACACTAGATAGACACAAAATATTATTTAATTACCTGACTTAATTGAATCATATTCCATGCATCTATTTTATTTAACATAACAAAACTAATTAGACTAAATTTGTTCTTTTTTTGCAAACTAGCACTAGTAAGTAGTAACACAATTTCACATGAGTAAGAAGTAAATTTGTTTGTTTGTTTGTTTGTTTGTTTGTTTTTTTTTTTTTTTTTTTTTTTTTTTTAATTCAGTTGGTTAATTTATTTATTTTTCGGGTATACCCGGAACTTCCATCGTCAAACACAGTGACTAGTCCCCTCGTTGAATTGTAGGCACCTCTTTTGGGTAGGACAGCTGGCCTAGAGATTTAAGGATGCTCCATTCACTTGGTTAATTTATGAGTAACCATGAATATAACAAAAATTTATTATTATCATGTGATTCATGTCAAAAGATAAATAGTAAAAAAAAGCATTATGTTTCAACTATTTCAACCTAATTCCACTTACCCTATAAAAGTATAAATATATCATAATTTCTAAATATAAATAAACCGATAACAATTAAAAATTAAAATAAACAAGTATAGACTAGAGAGAATCTTGCCTGGGTCATGTTTGGCCATTTGAAATATAGCACCCAACGCTGACTACAAAAGCGTTGAGGTCATTCAACTTGGAACTGTCATTTTCTTCTTACTCTGGAAAAAGTCTGCTTTGCTGGATATTGAACTAGTCTACCTTCGTCAATCTTCATTGTACTAATTTTTTTTTTTTTTTTAGTTAATTATTATGCAAACTCTTCTACTCAATTCATATCCACCGTCAAACACACAGTGGCTAATCATCTGATCTTACTGAATTGTAGTCACTTTTATAGATGGGATAGTCAGACTTGAAAATTTAAGGTTAAGGTTCAGTCATGCCCAAAGCAAATGATCGATCCATTGATGTTTGGTTAAAGATTGATGAATCCCTTCTGCAAAGAGAATGAGGTTTTCGCTGATCTGTGAAGCCAGCCTAACATAGTGCCCTCCAATCTAAGGGCTGAGACGCCTCACTTTAGCGGAGACTCCACCGCCCATCTCACCACTTATAACGGGCAAGCCAGGAGATAGCACCCCCAAGCCCAGCCTTCGGGACAAACTCAATCGTTCCACCATCTTAATGCTCCCGCTCAGGTTACAGGCTCGCGCTACCAAGTAGATTCAATTCCCTTATACTAATATGTTATTTTATAATCATTGATCATCCTAGATTGATGGATCAAATTGATCCTCATGGATATCATCGGTGGTTACGGAAAGTTTTCAAAACTTCCATTACCAAAGGTGAAACTTGACGGAGATTTCACTGCAAAATCTCCCGCAAATTAAAGTAAAACAAGTTTATGTAAAGTTCCCACAAAATCTACCTGCAAACTAAATCAATTTTACGTACAATTCCCACAAATTAAAGTAAACCAACTTTATGTAAAGTTCCCAAAGATTGAACCAAGTTTACGGTAACTATTTTGCACATGCATAATCCCGCAAGGTCTAACAACTTTGCATTAATTCTTCAAGAATATTAATATCATATATTAAGATCCCCAAAAGGTTTAAGGCCAGAAGAATAACAAACTCTTCTCGACAAATGACCAACTAACATTCTTGATCAACACATAATATTTTACTACACAACACCAGAATATTTAAATACACATTACTATATAAATCTTGTTATATATTGGTGGTTTAATTAGTGAAGAGCCTCAGATCAGAGAAAAGAATCAATTAGGATGTGTAATTAGAGGAGAATTGGTTACATATTAGTAGAAAGAAATTATGTATATTATAGGTGCTAATAATATACTCCGTAGTATGAATAGATCCATTGCATGTGAATAATGAGAAGACATGCATAAATATAATATTCTTGTTCATGTTCATTCTTCCGTGTTATTCTTAATTTTATTGGATCTCTCACACGCTCGAAGTGATTCGAATACGGTTAGAGCCAGAAATCTGCTCGAAAGGTTTCCTATCCGTTATAGTTCTATCTAGGATCATATCGTGACATAGAATTGAAAGAAATTGGATATGATTTGATGCAGAGGTATATATATATGAGCAGTTTGTGAAGTGAAAATGGTTTGCATAATTCGAAAAGGCAGTACAATTTCTTGTGTTATATACTAATCGATAAAACAAGCATAAAAGTCACTAGTGAGTATACCAGAAAACAAAACTGAAATGGGATCCAATAAGTAAAGTAAAAGGAATGTTGTGATTTCAATCCCAGAGAGAGGGTGATAACAGCATCTTTGCTTCTTCAACATTATATTCCCAGATGGTTGAGGTTCTAATAATGCTGATAATTTGATGGTCTGATCTTCGCTTTTGCCATTGCGTTCTGCAAGTATTTAGATGAAGGTGAGTCCAAAAATCTGGGTAGCTCAACTGGTCGTAGATGTGAAATTTGTCACAAAAGATTAACCAAATCTCATTAGAAATGAGGGGCTCTTTGTGCGCAGTGAACAAAAAGTTTACCATCTAGTCAGTTGAGTCACTATGATTTATCTCTCCACAAACTGTCGGGCCGGGGTATGGAGGCCCCTGGGGCGGACAATTCCACCTTTTTGTCACAAGAATAGAGGCATCTTGGGGCAACCCTAAACCCTAAACTTTAGAGGCAGTTTGAGGCAACCCTAGACCACAAGGTTACAAGTTCGACTCCCAATGGGAGCGGTCTATTGGCCTCCTTTGTTGAGCCTATTAGCTATGAACAACTTAAAATTAATTTATCTCTTGTGGTTTTTGCCAGTTAGGGTTAAAAAATAAAAAAGAATAGAGGGTTTGTTTAGTTACCGAAACTGGAATAGCACTGACATTCTTAGCAGAACCCATCATCACTCCAGAAAGAAGACCATGTGGATAATTTGGTGTGAGAGGTCCAGGGACAGGTGAAAAACCGGATTGTGGAGTAGCAAACTGTCCAGGACTGGATTGCACAGATAGTGAAGCTGCCACATTAGGAATTGGAAGTAAATCTGAGGGAATGACAAACTTTCTTGACACCACCTTGTTCACAGATGTACTAAGGATAGGGACAGGTAGCAATCCAGGAATAGAAGCAGCTTCTTTAGTTATTGCACTAGTAAACTGCTGATGATTAGGTGCTTTAACAGCACCCGTAGATGCCAAGCCAGTATGCATCGGTGGAGGAAGTGAATCGCGGGACTATAAAGATCAAAATTTGAAAACATTAGCAGAAGTCGGCATATATAACACGCTTTTAGCCTCTCAGATTCATCAAATCTGGAAATTATGAAATTTCTAACCACATGAAAGTGATCTTAAATCATGTTGAAAGCAAAAAGTGGTCGGAAATAGCAACAAAAGTTTTTCTGAATACCAAAAGTGGTCAGAACAAGGCTTTCAACTTAATTTAAGACATGTGGTCAGAAATTTCATAATTTTCAGTAATATCAAAGCGTACGTACCTCGATTATGGCAGGATCATCAAGCAAAGATGGGAAACTTGGTGGAGAAGATGGTGAAGATATAACGCGCAGATCCTGCAAAACCACCAAAACAATATCACGGGATTCGCTCTGATAACAAGTTGAAGCATATATGTGCTTCATTTCAACTAAAATGTTTAGTTAAGCTGATAGTTGGATTGCACATTTATGTTTATATATATTATATGCTCAACGATTGCAATGCTCACATTCATATCACTGCCATAGAAAACTACGTAGTTGTAGATTTTGTCGCTTGGAGCAACCACAAAAGCAGGCCTTCGTCCCTCGGTCCCAAAAGATTTCACTGCAGCAGGTACAAATGAAGAACATGATTGAGTACTAGGTAAAATAAGTTGATAATTATAAGGATCCTGTCACACATAGCAATTCAATTGGCTCTTCTTAAACCTCACACCACAGCTCACTACAAGCCTAACTGCGGAATAATGACTATTAGTGCGTACGGACTTAGCTCATTGGTTCAGTAGGAAGTATTTGAGAGAAGAGACTAATGTTCAAACCTCGGTAGCGACAGTGTAAGGATTATGCCCAAAGTGAGCAAATTTCTTGTGCGCACCAGCATTTGACCTTGTTTGCTGTGCTATTTAGTCACCCTAATTTACATTCTCCCAACTACTCTGTCAAGCTGGAGTGTGGGGGTCGAAGGACCCTTGGGGCTGTGGATTCAAGAACAATAATGACTATTATATTGCTTGACATTTATGAAGCACAAATTAAAATTCAAGACCATCCATCCTTTACATTTATTTCTAATTTAAGGAGTTGGAAATTAACTCAACTTAAACAACTAAATCCTCTATTCTTTCCTTTCGTGGAAGCATCTAATTCAAGTGGGCAATCGAAACTTTATAAAGAAAGCAATAGATCAAACAATGAAGTTCATGCACTTCACTCTCTAGTTTGATATCTATTTCTGATGAGATAAACTCGCAACCACTACCCGATGATATGTACTAGGATAAATCCCGTTTTGTAATTCTAGCCACCGCCAGCAAAGGATTACAAGAAGGTAAACCAGCCTAGGTTGTACATAGCTGACCAACTCATGAAGGTTAATAGGCCGTTCTGGCCAGTTGGGAATTGAACTTGCAAAGTGATCCTAAAAGAGCTGCATATATCATAGTATTAACAGTAGGCAAAGATGATCATGAATGCAACTTACTTTCTACATCAAAGGAAATAGACCATACTCCTAACAATTATCTATATTGCATTTTCATGGCTTGAAACGCCATCTACTTTTCTCTATCAGCCTTTGAAATACGTCCCGGCCCTTTCAATAAAAGTAATCAAACAATCCTTTAACATTTGAAACTTTAATGTTTAGTTAGAGTCAAAAATTAAGATAAAACTTTAGTTTATATAATCATATACAAATATAGATAATTCACAAATGCTATTCTAATTCCTTTGTACATTTATATAATTAAGACAATTGAATAAAGAAAATTTTAAGAAAGAAATAATAATATTATAAAGTTTGAACTTAATCGTTCCTCATCACTCCTACACTAGAGATCAGTGGAGGAGATAAATCCAGGGATGTGCCACAATTGATTTATAAGATTTTAAGTGCTTGTAAACTAGTGTCACAACAATGCCAAATCCAAATATAATTATATTATTAAAAGTATTCCATGTGGCATTTGAAAACTCTTCCACTAACACGGCGTTTGGTTGAAGGGATTTTAAATTCCCTTCCCACTTAATTTCCACCTAATTCCAAAGGTCACAAAATTCCCTTGTTTGGTTGAAAGGAATTGCAATTCCATAGAATTAAAATTCCCCCATTTTCATGGAATTAAAATCCCATGTCCCCCGTGGTATTTTAATTTCTGGGATTTTAGGAAGAAAAAAAGATAGTGATGAGTCAAAATTACCCCCCCCCCCCCTTTTTTAACCTAAAATTAATGCTTGACAACAACAATGGACATTTTGGACTTTATACTACTTATTCCCTTTCAATTCCCATGTATACCAAACATTGGAATTGAAATTCCCGGTAATTCTATTCCTGTCAACCAAACATTGGAATTTAAATTCCCACTTTATTCCTAGTAATTCATCTCCCATGGTTTTCCCACGTAATTCCCCCTCTCCAACCAAACGCCCTGTAAGATGTTTATTACACTAAGCAACTAACCTTTTTAAATTTATCAAACTTACCGCTCACAATATTAAAAATACTAGACTACTAGTTAAACTTAGTAGATTTTTTTTTAATTTTTTTTTTTGTTCCTCAATATATATAATTCTCAGTTTTATATTTCTATTCTTTTTTTAATTAAAATTATGTTTAAAGAGTTACCATTTTTCTATTTGCACATTAACTCTCATTCTATATATTTTGATGAGTTAATTTTAAGATTCTTCAAAATTTATGTATATATATAGGTAATAAGTAGCAAAATCTGAGTGGTGTAAATTAATTTCACTAGAAACAAAATAGCTCTGATCTGCCTATAGATTCAATCGTTAAACCTAAAAAATTTTCTATCCATAGAAGACATTAGTGACTTGCACACAAGTGGAAAATATGATAGAATCGACTTATCTAGTAACTTTTCAATTACCATGCCCTTCATTGTAATTTTCAGTCATACACAATATAACAACTCCTTGCATATTTAAGTATTGTTATTATGCATATTTATTTATTATTTAATTTTTTATATCTTAGTATTTTTGAAATAATTTTAAATTTTTCAACAAATGTAATAATTTTTAACTTTAACTTAAATTATGAGAATGACAAGAATTGATATAATTAAGTAACTTAAGTCTTCTTTGAGAATTCAAATATGTGACTACAAAACATTATAACATAAAAAAAAAAATTGAAAATCTTTTGAGAATTCAAGTATGATTACAAACACTAAAACATTTTTTTTAAAAAAAAAAAACTTCGAAAGAAAATAAGAGAAAAATTATAGAACTGGAGTAAATTTTATATTTTCATTGGCTTTGATAATTTAATTTTTATCATTGATCATTTAAAATGTAAGAAATTAAATCATTTTAGTGCATGAATAATTAGGAAAAGCGTAGATTTAATTAAACAATAAACCTATGCATGAGTGTGTGTTTTATGTTTCATCAATCATAAATGATTTTATCAAGTAAAATCATATATATTAGGAGTTGAGGTTTTTCTGCAGTAGAATATTCAAGTCATTATAAGTATTTTAAAAATATTTTATATAGTCAAATCCCCTATATTGGATCAAACAAATCCTATAAGTTCATTAATAAGGGGAATGCAATATATAGGTGTAAATAATAATGTAAATATATCCTTTCAAAAAAATATAACAAAGCACTCCTTACTAAACTCAAGCATAACATTACTTTCGAAAAAAAAAAAACTCAAACATAACATTCTTCTACAACTTAGTCAAAGGTCTTAATAAAATCTTTAATCAACCTCCTATAAAATTTGACATAACCTAAAAAACTCTTAAGCATTGACACAGAAATGATGGGTATATGAGTATATATCTACTAAAGAAGATAAACTATGCACAAGAATTAAAGCCAAACAAACAAAGACAGAAGCAGGATAACTAACTCAGTCAAGATAGTTACGGATACAAACTTATAACTACAAAATTACAAGTTCGAATCTCAACTCTCTTAGTTTAAGCCTGTTAGCTATGGACAATCCGTAATCTAGGCTGGTTTACTCTTAACACACCCTCAGATCGCGATTGTGGGTTTACTTGGTCGCCAAAAAAGACAGAATCGAAGCACAAAAGCAGATAAATGAAAAGGAAGAAGGAGAAGAGCAAAACCATTCTGAAGAGCTATGGTGCATTCCTGAGCGTTGACGTGAAGCTTAGAACCTTCATATCGCATACCAGACTTTGTTGTTAAGCTTATCAGACTACCAATGCAAGAATCCGCAACAGCTTTAATGGCCGCCGCCTCCGCCATTATATTGGTGGCGCCGGGGATTGAACGTCAGCTGCGCTGCTAACACTCTACACCAGAAAATAAAGAAAAAACCCGCACTGACTTAACTCACAGTAGAAAATAAAGAAAAAATTTGTACGAGTTTAGTTCACTGGTTGGGAGAAAAAACTTGCAAGAGCTTAGCACACTGATAAGGAGAATAAGAAGAAATGAAGAAAATTGAGGGAATTAAGAAAGAAACGGCCGCGGGTCGGTGGAATGGTCTGCGTGTTGTCACCTTGCCCCGTAAAGGAAACAAATGTTTATTGTAAAAGAATTAAATGAGAAATAATAGAGATAATTCCACCAGAGGTCCCTTGTCTTAAGTGATAATTTTAAATTTAGTCTTAGATTATCGTTTTTGTCATTTAACATCTTAGACTATTGTTTTTTGGACACTTTACCTTTTCATGATTTCTCCTATATATTCAATAAGGGCATTTTTGTCTTTTTATATTTTTCTTTTGTTATTTTTTTTATTTTAATCGGTTTAATTGGTTTAGGACTTAGGTAACCTCTGATTTTTAGTAGTCATATTTTTCAACTGGTTTTTAGTAAAATCCTAAACCAATTATACCTGTTGAAATCATAAAAATCACAAAAGAAAAATATGAAGAGACAAAAATACACTTACTAAAAATAGAAAAAGTCATTAGAATGACTAAAAGTATCCAAAAATAATAGTCTGGGATGTTAAATAACAAAAATGATAGTTTGGGACTACATTTAGAATTGTTACAAAAGACAAAGCACCTCTGGTGGAATTAACTCGAAATAGTACTATTATTTGAATCTTTAATTTGATCATGTTTTCTATATTTAGACTCAATGTTTATATGCTGCATGTATCCATGTAATAAGTATATTATTTATTCATGAATTAAATATAGAAACCCACATCAAATATATCATAACAAATTTTACTTTTTAAAAAAAAAAAAATTAGTCTATATAGTCCAGGGGTCATGTGTTAATATGAAATGTCCCATTTAAACTATATACAATTAATAAGCAAACTATTAGACTTGATATTTATGTGCAAAAGAAGGAAAAAGATAATTTCAGCATTAAAATTTTAGTAAGTAATTTATACGAAAATATACTAGCATATTTTCAATGGTATTTATTAGCAGTGTTAAAAAGCTTATTTAATTATTACGTTTTTAATAATAAGAGTATTAATCGACAAGATTAATAGTATCGAGATTATTTTAGAAAAAAATGCTATCACATTTTCAATGGTATTTATTAGCGGTGCTAAAAGGCTTATTTAATTATTACTTTTTTAATTAATAAGAGTATTAAATTGACAAGATTAATTGTATCGAGATTATTTTAGAATAGTATCTATATATATATAAAAGTAAAATCCTCCTAGCCAAATTTTTCCCCCAAAACTTAGAGGCATTTTTGCAATATCAAATATTTAGACAAATATGGCATTTTAATAATATTAAAGATTTTACCTTTCTTGAGATCTCTTACCATTTTATAATTTCAATACTAAACCCTTTTGATCTCATCCATTGTGTATAAATACACCTTATATAACCATACACAACCCCAACTAAGGTTAATTATTTTATTGATTTTTGCTAATCATCCTGTGATCTTCCACAGTTGAGGTTGATACGTGATTTGCACTGGTGAGGTTTCATTATCTTAGTTTCTTTAATTTTTTATTCTTTTTAGGTTTTGTTTTGTTTTTATTCTTTTGTATTTTCTGATTTTTAAACAACAAAAGTGGTTCGTAAGAAAAAATGTTGATATATTCTTTTCTTTTTTTGTCTATTTTTGTAGAGAAGATACGGATCTAGAAAGATTGATCGGGAAGCAATAGACTTCTAATCATCCTGTGATCTTCCACAGTTGAGGTTGATACGTGATTTGCACTGGTGAGGTTTTTATTATCTTAGTTTCTTTTATTTTTTCTTTTTTTTGGGTTTTGTTTTGTTTTTATTTTTTTGTATTTTTTGATTTTTAAACAACAAAAGTGGTTCGTAAGAAAAAATGTTGATATATTCTTTTTCTTTTTGGTCTATTTTTGTGGAGAAGATACTATACGGATCTAGAAAGATTGACCGGGAAGCAATAGACTTCTAATCATCATGTGATCTTCCACAGTTGAGGTTGATACGTGATTTACATTGGTGAGGTTTTCATCATCTTAGTTTCTTTTATTTTTTTTTCTTCTTTTTGGGTTTTGTTTTGTTTTTATTTTTTTGTATTTTATGGTTTTTAAACAACAAAAGTGGTTCATAAGAAAACATGTTGATATATATTTTTTTTTTTTGTCTTTTTTTTTTTTTGTGGAGAAGATACAGATCTAGAAAGATTGATCGGGAAGCAAAAGAGTTCCTTGCTCATCAAGATGATAAAGTTTTGTGATCGAGGGACGAATTATGTGTATATGTAAATATATATAGACTTATAGAGGGAACCATACTAAGAATACAATAAAAACCAAAATGAAATTAAAAGCATTTTTTAGTTGTCAATATATCAAAGCATTGGACTTTATTTCGATTCAATTTCTCCATTTTTAAAGTGTACATTTTTTGTAATAAGAGAGTAGTTTGTCTTTCCCTTCAAGACGTTTTTCTTGCCATTTAATTTTTTTTTTTTTTTTTAGGAAAAAAATGATTAAGTACTGTGGCTTTTTTTTTTTTTTTTTTTTTTTTTTTTCAATAGAGTATTATTTTGATTTTATTCTTCATTTGACATTCCTTGATATAAAATCACTTTACTAATGTAAAATAATGTTATTGACTTACCATGTTTGCTTCGATATGCTAAGCCATTTAAAATTTAATACGGAGTAAAATTTATAATTGTAATACTTCCGTAATAATATTGAATAAATATTAATCATATGTTTAGATTTAATAATATATTATATTAAAAGAATTATTTATTAATTTAATATAGTGATGGTTAATACGGGTAAACCATATATAAGCAATATTTTACCTTAAGAATAGTATACCTTAATTATAAAAATTCTACCTAATAATTTTAGTATTAAAAGTCATACAATAATTACCATAAACAATGTTTAATAATTGCCAAATTCTATTATGCAATAAAAATTACTATTATAAAATTTTTTGTAATATGGACACATTATTTTTATTTAATTATTTCGATTTAATAATATTATATCTTATGTATAAAAATTCAAATAATACTTTTAGTACTATTGAATATTGATTGACTAACAATTATTTTAATTATTAAGGCAATTAATGGATATTTCGATTTAAAAAGTTTTCAAATATATGAATTATACATAGTAGCATTGAATCAATTAGTAAGACAATTATATTAGGTAATCTAATAAATAACTTACTTTTTAAATTATATCTCATCTTTAATCTTTAATAATGAATATTTTCTTAAAGTATATACATAGACTACGGTTATCAATATAAAATTAAAAGTATATATATATATATATATATATATATATATATATATATATATATAATGGATAATATTATTAGTACAAAATAAGTTCTACTTACCTTAGTAATTAATTATTAATATTATTACCTAATAATTATATATTGTTACCTTTTTCGGTGTAATTATTATGGTAATTTATATACATATATATGTTTATACTTAATGTATAATATATTGGCATGAAAAAAATTATACTTATCTTAATATATAATTAATTTTTAATATAATTTCCTTATTTTTATTAAAGATAATTATTTTAATAAATTTTCTTTCATTATTTTGTGTGATTATTATGGTAATGTATTTAAATTTTGGAAGAGATTATTACAAATATTATCTACAACTTTAATAAGAGCCAATATTGTTAGACCCTTAACGGGAACTAAAAAAATGTCAGTACAACACATGCTCTAAAGAATTATACTTTATGCCTTTCTAATTATACAATGTCAACTTAAAATCCTAATATAACCTCACTCTTCTTAATTTTACCAAACTTTCAATGTTAAATTTAACATTCCGTCAAATGTAGTTGCGGGGTGGCAAAATTGAAATTTACATGAAATTTAATGGCAATTAGGAGAAGCATTATCGCCGACCCCAAACAAATTTTAATGGCAATTAGGAAAAGCATTATCGGCGATCAGCCGATCATTATCGCCGACCGCAACAAATTAGGGTAGCAGTTAGGAGAAGCACGGCTAAGGAGAATCAAACACCAGCGAACGGCAATTAGGAGAAGCACATCCGACCGCCACTAAGGAGAATCCAGCGCATGTGCTCCGCGATCAGACGAGCAAGAAAGCCATTTTCTTGCTGGTGTTATGCCCTTTTCATGGTTTGTGGTTTTAATTATAGTTTCAAATTTATTTGCTTTTCTGGCCTTTATGTTCTTTAAATTGCCAGTTACATATAGCATTCATTAACATACATATGATTCATAACTATGAGTGCTGACTTGGTAGGGTTTTAATGCCCCTTAGAAAGTATTTGACTTTTGGTATAATTGCAAATTGCTTAACCTCACCAGAGGAGATTAAGTCTTCTGCTAATTAAATTAGATGAAATTTGATCAGAGGACTGATTGGGTATCTGTTGATTTGGAGCAATCTGAGCATGTTGAGTGGTGGCTGGGTGAACTAATGGAATTAATTGAATGAAGAAGATGGTCCTCCTAGCTTGGTGGACCATTGGAATAATTGATTTACATAATGGGATTGTTTGGTAGAGACAAGTAGAGTTCTGGCATTGCTAATGGGATGAGCTACTGGAAAATTGTTGGCTTTGACTTTAATTTGCTTTGCTGCTCTGACTTTAATTTGCTTTGCTTTCCAGTGTGGTGATGTAAATGCACCTTGGTGAGTGCGATGTTAATACTGATTTTGTCATTTTTGTGTATTTGTTCTTCAATCAGTAGTTGTGTATTCTAACATGCTTTTTTGGTTTCCATTTTTTTTGTTAATGTAGAATATTTAGTTATGTTATTGTAGAAAGATCAGAATTCAAAATTGTATTCTCATTCATGAGTTTGAATTTATTGTTTATAAACAGCTCTGCTATGGAGTCTAGCCATTCTGAAATCCCTGAATCCAGTCGTGATGAGAGGAATAGAAAACATAGGGAGCGGTATGCTTGTAATGAGACTCGATGGGCAGAGAGAAACTTGACACGTCGAAATGCAATACCACTACCATCAGTAAACAAGATGGAGAAGATGAAGACAATTCCGAGCTTAAAAAAACACGCACTAAGAAAAATTAATTTACTATGCCGAAATTACTCTTTTCATGATAGATAGTTAGCTTTAGTTAGTGGTTTCTTTGTTTTTACTTTGGTTATAATTTAGCTATTTCGAATTTCTTTATCTTTTTATTCAAATATAAGCACAAAGACTATTTCTTTATCTTTTATTAACTTCATATTCATCTCTCTCATTATTATATGAATACTTTAACCAATTAAAGAACACAAATTTATAAATACACATTGGGCATTGGTATAATCGCGCAAAGCGCGTGTACTAAGTAGTAATTAATATAAGTAATATAATTAATGAAATTATTATGGTAATTGTCACAATATTTGTTAATTATAATTAATATAATTAAAGAAATTGAGAAATATAAGATTTCTTCCCTAGAAATATTTGTGACAATTTAGTTAAATTACAATTAATAAAATATGAAATATAATTAAAGAAATGAAATTATTAAATTAACAAAACATGAATATTTCTAATCATACATACACTTATGCACTATAATAATCATGCAAAATTTAAATGCAACTTTTTAAATTTTTAAATGTAATTTTTTAATTATAAATCTATCAATATAAATTATAATTAATGAAATTATATTATAGAATTTTCCTATTTTCATTTTAATAAATATTATGTGTATAGAAAATGAATTATACAATCATATAAGGAAATGTGTCGGATTAGAGTTTAATTTTTTTTTTTTTTTTGAATGTTACTGGCCCTATTACATTGTAGTATCTGTTCATATACTTTCTCAACCTACTGAAACACAAAGAACCAATAACGCCTCCACTGAGGCTTGAACTCACAACCTTTCAAATGGAAGTCCAACCCGGATACCATTAGACCATATAGTCCTGGTATTAGAGTTTAAATTTATTCATACAAATTTTAGAATTTACATTTTTTTTATAAAACTAATCAAATGTTAATGTTAATAATAATAATAAGAATTTTAAAATCAGAATTATAAATTAAGTATTAGGGTAATAATTAATCTATATATATATTATATATTATTATTATTATTATTATTATTATTATTATTATTATTATTATATAAAAACAAAATCATCCCTTTTCAAAAAAACAAAAAACAAAATCATCCAATTTCATTTTCCCGCCCAAACTTTTGTAGTAAAGCTTATTTGGTAAGTAAATGTCTAATGGAAATTAAAAAAAATCTATTAATTGGTAATATTGCATAATTGGTAACATTATGTATGGTATTATATTCTATAATATAATAATATAATTGATAATATTATTGTTTAAGTATAATAAAAATCCTATGTAATAATGTAATAATAAAAAAATAAAATTAAAATTAAAATAATAACAATAACAATAACAATAACAATAACAATAATAATAATAATAATAATAATAATAATAATAATAATAACAATAACAACAAATTTAATAATCCAAACAAAACTATATACAAAATAAATTAAAAATTAAAAAAAAAAAAAAAAAAAAAAAAAAAAAAAGGAAGAAGACAAAGGTGGCTTCCCTTTGTAAATGATGTGGGATCATTTTGATTCCACATTGAAAATGTTTGAAAAGATGAGCTCTTAAACTCCTCTATATAAGATGGGCATTTACAAACATATAATTGCTTGCCCATTAATATGGGTAAGTATTGAGAAGTCCAAAGACTTTTTTATTTTTATTTTTTTATTTTTTTTATTTTAGTACTATTAACCTGACAAATTATGCTGTGGATATGTGTCCACCTTGCAATGTAGACACAGTTCAAAAATTGTTCATAATTATTAATATATAATTCAAAAAGTTATGAACATATAGTTCTATAATTATGAACATAGTGTTGTGAACATAATTATGAACATATAGTTATGTAATCATGAATATAGAGATTCAATAATTGTGAATATGAAGTTAAAAATTATGCATATATATCTTTATAATTATGAACATATAGTTCAGTAACTATGAATTTAGAGTTCTGTAATTATAAATATAGAGTTCAATACGTACTTATGAATATGAAGTTCAAAAATTATGAATATATAGCTTTATAATAATGAACATATAGTTTA